GACCAAATATCGGCCACATACTCATCCTCTGTGACGAGTATGCAGATCTGCTTGACTTTGCCACTACGCAGATCACGCAAGAACCGCTTCGGTTCTAGCGTTGGCAACTGAGTTATCTCCGAAGTTAACTTCGGAGGCACAATCAGATCAAGCGTATAAGCGCCTACACTTGATCCGTCATTAACCAAGAAGTTCAACGTCTCGGTTACTTCCTGGGAACTTCTTTCCACAGGTTGATGAAGGCCTAATCCTTCAGCAAGTGACTCTTGAGGAATTCCTTCCTCAAGTACGTGGGGACTTATTCCCTCGACGTCTTCTGACTGTGGCTGTGCAACCACAGTCAGGGACCGATCCTCTACGGTCTACTCTCCAGTCGACCTAGGATTTTCATGTTGCCCTTTGGGGGCAACAGGTTTCTTCTGTCTAAGATGCTGCCCGCTAGGCATGTATCCATGTCCCGGTCCACTCGACTTATTCGAGTGGTGTACCTTCGGCGCAGCCTGTACTTCTGTACACCAACCGGGAGCTTGCTCCACAGTGTAGTGATCAACTACACTGTGATCTTGTGCAGTCGTGCTAACGACCTTACCGCAAGTGAGGCCATCGCACTCACTCGCAGAACATCCACACGCTTGTGGACGCTCCAAGATGTTCATCAGATGGCCATCTGATGAACAAGTGGCAGGCATCTTCACGGATCGATGCTTCCAGCTCACCCTTGGCTCGTACTTTCTGAGCCAAGGTAATCCCAGGATGACATCAAATTTGCCATCCAGATCTAGTACGATGAAGTCATCATCGTACTGTTTGCCCTCTAACGTGTAGTGGATTCCTACTACACGTTTCCTAACGGTAATCGATGCGCCTGTTGCAAGGCGCACCGTCATCCTTGTGAGGGGAATGTCGCGCTCAACGAACTTGAGCCTACGACCCTCTAGTGACTGGCATCGAACAAAGTTGTTCGACGCCCCACAGTCTACTAGGGCACGAAGCGACAAATCATTTGACGCTTCCAAATTCAAGGTGATGAGCGAAACGTCATCACCAGGTGCAGAGACACACAATGATTGTGTGTCTGGAGCAACTTTCGTCAAGAGATTTGCAATTTCTCTTGAGGTTGCTGGATCAGTAGGGCGCTCCGCCCCTACTGACCCCGACCATTTTTTGATGGTCCGTCTCGCTGTTGCGGCTTCGCAACAGCGCTGGACCCACGCCCGTTGCCCTTTCTGGAAAATGGTCGTCCATTTCGCTCAGTACTGTTTGGTACTGGGCGTGGGGCACTACACTCATATGCGTAGTGCCCTAACTTCTGACAGCGATTGACCTCTGCAATCGCTGGTTGTTTGAAGAGCGAGGTATCTCGCCCTCAACATAGCAGAGGTCCATTGGTTCTGAAACTCCGATCTCTTGTCGTCTCGGTGGACGGTAAGAGTTTGAGCTAGTATGAGCCTGTCTCATGCTAAAGTCTTCTTGTTTCGCGGCTGATATCGCTTCTTCAAGCGTATTCAGCTCAAGGCGGAACAGGTGGCTCCTGACGGGCCCTTCTGCGAGCCCTTGCATAAACACCGTAATCAACGTGTGTTCATGAACTGGGTTAGCAGTTATACTACTCGCTAGGAGTCGTATATGTTGTGCGTAAGCGTGCACATCACGCTTACCCTGCTTGAGTTTCAGGAGCTCTGAACGAGCCCTGAACTCAGCTCGTGGCGGCTCAAACGTTTGTCTGAGCCGGGCCTTGAAGTCATCTAGCGACCTAAACACATGTGGGTCGCTACTCTCGAGTCCCAGGGACCAAGTTTTGGCACGCCCTGCCAAGTGGGTCTGAGCAAATGTGAGTTTCATTTGCTCATCTTCGACGCGACGAGCCCTTAAGGCTCTGTCGAGTTCGACAAACCATAGTAACAGGGAGTCCTCCGGGACTCCACTATACTTGGAGATGTCAACCTTCATGACCTCGGGACGACGCGCATGCGCCGTCCCGCCCACAGCAGCATGGAATTGCCGCTGTCTCAACAGCTCGGCCTGTTGAGAGCCTTGCTGGTGAAGCAAGGCTACTTTCTCCCTTTCGGCGACAATTTCACTTTGGATGAACTTGGCTATAGCGGCATGTTGTTGGTCTCTGTCTAGAGACTCCAACATGGCGCTAATGGCGAACTCGCCTACGGTAGAACTCATTCGTTCTACCGCACCCCATTCGATGTCACTCAAATGGGTAAACCCTTCACGCGTGGCGTGGAAGGTCTCTTCATCATCCAACATGTTCATGTTGGATGTTGTGGTCCTTAGAAGGACTACAAAGTGCTACCAGGTGTAACGGGGCACACCCTTGCGTGAGCTTAACGAAAGGGCTTGGGTGCCCCGACAGACGTACACGAGGCGAACGAGGAAGCGTAGGATAAGGAGAAAGTAAAACTGTTGTATTAATATAATTAAGTATTTTTGCTACTGTCTCTTTGTTTAACCTGACTTAATTATGTTAATATAACTGAGTGTATGGTGACGTTTCGTCACCACTCATTGCGCGCGTCCTGCGGCGATTGGTGGATTGATATTATCACGATATCAACCAATGAGCAGACCCTTTGGTCGCTTCACCAATATCACCATTATCGGTGATATTGTTCAAAGAATATTCACTTAATATTCTTTGTTGTCACTTTCTTTTAAAGTGACACTTCCATGTAACGGGCTGCCCCGTTACAGCTATGGTGAGGTGATTGAACCATAGTCGGCGGTGATGGAGTATCCGTGATTGCTGCGACACACTTTGAAGTCTTGAACGGGATTGGAACTGCAATGTTCCGCAAGTGGTAGCGAGAGTGCTCTGCAAGTCGTTGCAAGCTAAAGAAACACATGAAGATGGACGGAAGTCTAGTCTTCAATATTTATGACGATCTTCTGCTTGGTGCAACCACAAAACAAAGGCAAAATGATGAAGGCCACGAGGAGATCATAGCAGTGTACGCTCTTCATAAATGCTACTGCTTACGTACAGTAAGCAGCAAGAGCGATTTCGTTTTTGCGGAACTCGAATGACAATCACCGAAGAAGAGCAAAAGGCTAAGTATGCCATACTGACTGTGCACGGTACATCGTCATAGGTGAGCGAATGGCTAGAGCTGTAGTGGTCGCGTCCGACCAACATAGTCAGCGTCGACGCGTGTGACGTGAATCGAGCAATGCCACCTGAAGGCGTCAAGCTTCTCCATGAAATAAGCCGTGAAATACTCTCGTAGGCTGAGCGATTGAACGGCTCGATCAATCGAGTTCATGAGCCGGCCGGGAGCTTATCTGCAACGGCGTTAGTTCTGCTTACCAATTTCTGCATTATATGAGCCGATAAAGAGAGACCTTTTGGAACTCTGGGAGGACGCACAACGCCGAGGTCATCAGAGACACGTGTGCGAGCTAATGTGTGTTGTTGTGTCTCCATCCAGTCCGTGTTTCCATGCCAAAGACTTTGGCATGGATCAGGACTGAAGAGATCGATGATGCTCGTCGGCCGATAGCTTGATGATGAGGGAGCCACCGTGAAGGAAACCCGACGCCCGCTCGCGAGAAGATCAGCTGCGAATGGATCGCAAGAGCACGATTGACGATTGACAACTTCATCTCGGTGGCGGGCTTTCGTGATACACTGAGCTAAGTCGAACACTTGGCGGCACAGCCTAAACGTGCTTTTGTTCATTCAGACTGGGCACCGCACTCGGCGTCAGGTACCGAAGATGGAGATGCAAAAGTGAGGCTCCTAGTTCTATCTGTGGAGGAGCAGGTAGCAGCAGCACATCGACAGTCCTGAGGGGATATCTGTCAATGCCGTTGTCGTGTGTGGGCTGTGGTCGTCTACTCAATATGCCTCACCATAGCTATCTCACATTGCTGAGAAAGAGGTGCGACTGAGAAGGAGGACACATTGTGCGCGGCCCGGCCGACCTTATTGCCCTGCGATGAGGTGGGTATGCTACGGTGAGGAACGTCTTGAAGGCTAAAGCATGTTTGAGGAAAAAGAGAATCGCCATCCTGCCCGCCTTTCCGCGGGACCTGCAAAGATGTTTGCCATGTCGTACGCTTGTCGAGAGATGCGATGAGGCGATTGCAGTAGACGGCTTTGTCCCCAAGCAAAGCGGATGCGATACACAAGTGTCAGTGGTCTCTGGATAGCACATTACAAGCGGCGTGGGAAGAAGCGCGCCATGCGTTCTGCTACTTGTCCGCTTGCTACGAACACTGCAGAGCAGTTTAGCGACCATCTCGACATGTGACAAGGTGCAGTAGACTTTGACGGGCAGCTGAATAGCTACTGGATGAGCGTCACTGCCTCGACAACGACCAGCTAGGAACGTACCTCCCACTCGAAGCACAGCGCTACTCTAGTTGACTAAATCGATCGGAACAGCATATGCCATCGTATGGCATATGCAGTTCTGACTTCTGCGGCGATACGTTTGTACTCTCTCGGACACCACTCGGACGCAGGCGGCGGATAACGAAGCGATCCCGGCATGTCACAAGTGTTGGTGAGCTCCCATAGTCTACCTTTCGTTGTCGATAAAAAGCAAGAGACGGTAGCAGTCGTCCAAGTTCCAGCGGGCACCTCAGCGGCAACGACACTTGGCGATACGTGACCTGTGCGCAGAGGCTTTCGTCTCGATACGGCCAGGAAGAGCGACTGACTTTGCTATGCTGTCGGTGTCGATGGAGATGGCTGGAAGAGAGGCGTACTGGATCGGCTGTCTATCGGTCAGTCAGTCAGTCAGTCAATCTGTCTGTGTCTGGATGCTAATCACTCACTACCTGCAAGAGCTGTATTTGTACGCTTTATGGTCTGCTGCGTATCAACAACCGCAGCCTCCACCAATTGGCCCGCACACGGACGGACCTTTGAGCAGGAGCTCCATCGTTGTTACCACAGGCGATCGCGCGCTCGCTCGCTTTGTACATAGTTCTTCACTGTATATGATGTCGACGGTGTCCTGTCCTGTCCCGTCCTGTCCTTCTATCTAAAGCGTGACGGACCAGACACTGTCCAGCAACGGCACGGGCGCCAGCGCCGTCGGGGGGCCACTCGCGGGTGCCTCGAACACGGTCCGCTCGTCGTCGTCCATCTGGACCCTCGTGGGCGGCGCGGGCCTCCACGTCGCGCCTTCCGAGCCAAAGAGCAGTACTTCCAAGATCTTGACCTCGAGCAGGTTAAACCCGTTGTGCAATGTGACAGAGTCCACGGGCTCTGTCGTGCTCCGTGGACTCGTGGGACGCCCTCGTGCGCGCTTTGAAGGGGAGCAGCAGCTGCCGCCAATGTCGGACGTGGGCGAGTCCGCTGTCGTCGCTGCCGCCTGTTGTTGTTGTTGTTGTTGTTCGAGGAAGCGCTTCTTGCGCCGGTGCAGTCGCTGCTGGTTGGCATTGGCCTTGTGGCGGTGAAAGTCACACAGCTTATGCAGTGTGCCGTCGAGTTTCGTGGCCCGAGGGGCGTCGCAGAATTTGCTGCGGTAGGCGCACTGCATCTCGCGAGGGACCTGTTGGGTCATGACGGCAGAGCTGTTGAAATGCTGTGTCGAGCTGTTCAGCGGACCTGTTTGGACCTGCTCGGAGCTGTTCGCTCGACGCAGGAGCTTTGGAAATAGTCTGCTGCACGCGGGGCAGCAAACGCCCACACACTGCGAGGACTTTGGTGTGGCAAACGAGGCAGAAGGCGGCGGAGGAGAAGGCCGCCGGGTCACGCCTTGCAGCCCGTCGTGCTCGAAGCGCAGCAGTCTGTTGACTGGGCATCGCGCGGGATGGGGCGGGGGATGGGCGCCGCGCCGATATGGCTCTTTTGGCAGACGCCCGCGCTGCTCTTCAGCAAAGCGGCCGCAAAGGGGACAGCAACGGGCGCTCGTCTGCTCGCCGGCCTCGTCGCGTTGGGTGGGCGACGGCCGAAACGGGCAAGTTGCGTCAGCGCGCGGGGCCGAAAGAAGGAGAAGAAGGTGAAGATCCGGTCCGGCTTTCGCACTGCACGGGCGCGTCCTGGCAGCGAGTGGATCGGTCCGACGGGCACGAGGGGCACGCGCGACACACGCACATACACAGACATGCGCTTGAAAGTGCGGCCTGGGGCTCGTGCGAGCGAGCGTGCGACGTGGAAAGGAGTGGCATTGGCGGCACTCGGTCCAAGTGACTGTCGTCGCATTGACGTGAGAGTGCAGAGCAGCGTCAGGAGAGAGCGAAGGCCGCTCGCTTGTAGGTATACCGTCCTCGGCCTGGAGTCGACGATCAGCAGTAGCGCCTGTCACCTGAGCGCACGTGAGCCTTTTGCTGCGAAGACGCCGCAAGTGCGCACGGATGTGTCCGGCGGCGTCGAAAGGGTTCGACAACGTCTTTGAAGGCGGACGAGCGCATGGGACTCGATTGTAACCGAATCTGGTTGTAAAGAGGCCGCGCGGGTCTGCACGTCTCTGTGCTAACGAAGCCAAACATCCGGCGCTTGCTGGTCTTGAGCAACGCGCTGCGTATGTAGCGCGTTGCTCACCATTCGTCTCGTCAAGATTACACACTGAGCGGAGACACAAATCGGAGGACGCGCTGCGTGCAAATCGCGTTCGCTTTCCACAACTATTTGACCGGTTGCCATTGACCAGACCTGACGCGCTTCTCACTACACGAGGGCAAAGGGAGTGGCCGACACTACATGTCGACGCTGCCGACGGTCGTCGCACATGTGATCGCGTGACGAGAGGCAGCTTCGGCCGTGCACGAGGATGCGAGAGAGTCAAGTGCAGGTCCAGTACTTGTCGACAGCATTTCCACCCGACTGACTGACTGTTCTGATGCTGATGGGTTGCGAGAGAGTGATTCAGGGGCAACGCAAGCGATCCTCGTGCTCGACAGCCGCTGATTTCTCCCAAGTTGAGCTTCATCCGACTTCGTGTCGATCGAGCAGCTATCGTGGGACACGAGGGCACGTGCATGCCAAAGCCCACGCACCCATTAGATCGATGCCTCACAGTCGGACCGATGCCGCTTTCGCTTGACGGCCGTCGAAACATCTGTCGTCGCGCCCTGATCCGCCCTGCAGCTTGGCAACATGTTCCAGTAGAGATGTGCACTCCGACCCGCTTCTGGATGCACTGATGTCTCAAATCCACGTGCTTTCCCTGCGGAAGTATGACAACAACACGCGCTCCTGTACAGCGGAGCGACAGTGTATGTTGCCATCTGCAAAAGTGGTCAATGTGTGGCTTTTGACTGTGAGCTTTACTGGTTAGCAGCTGGTCACAGACAGACACGTCACACGACGCGAGTGGCTGTGTCCCGCTGAACGCATCTTTCGACTCGTGTCGTGCCCTGGACGGCGGAAACGACTGCTATCACGTGACGCCGATCGAGAGATCTTTCTGCCAACTTCAACAGAGCGAGGACAGGTGCGACTTTCGGAAGTACTGTGCCGCACGTGTGCATGTTACAGCGACGCTGCGGCAAGTCGACTGGTGTCGTGCCAGTGCCGCCTGTGTAAGGCGCACGCACACGAAGCCACTACGTGGTGCCTGTCTGTCTGTGGATACAGACAGACCGTCTTGTCGCTATGCACGATCGAGCAACTGTTCCACGTGCACACAAGCAAACGAGCCGTGACGATATGGACAGCCGTGTGGACGTATGTATGCGAAGGAGGCACAACCATACGTCGGTCATGGCATTGTTGCCCCCCTCAACGTATCCACCTGCTGACGACCTGTGTCGTCGTTTCGGCAGTCGAATTGAACGCTTTTGCAGTTGAGCAGTACCAACAGCTCGTTCCGGAAACGGTGTGCCCGATGCAGTAGCTCATCCTCAATCTCAGGCGATCCCTCGACGGCTCTGAGCAGCGGTCTTTGCTGTCCCTCACGGCGCTTCCCCAGGATGACCTCATTGTGTTCATAGCATCTGGACCTGCAGCGAGCTCTTCTATGTCCGCCGACGGGCCTTTCGCAGCTACACACGATGCTCTGTCGTACGTTGCAATGCAACTACTACTATCAGCACCACGAGGACCTGGTGCCCGAGCGCCAACTAAATCGCACTGGAGCGCCATCGCTCCTTCAACCTGATCGAAAGAGAGCGATAGCCGCTTGTCATCAAAACGTCGTCGCTAAGCGCTGGAATCTGCCAGTCAGTCACCGACAGTCACGGCCCCAAATGGTCGCACGCATCCTGATCCGGTGCTACCGAGCGAACTGTGCAATCCTGAGAGGACCAGCACCTTTTGGCCATCCGTTGGTAACATCTCGCGTCCTCTCTTCTTCGCACTGAGTGGTACACTGACATTGTCAGGCGCACGCGTGAGGCTCCACGTGCTTTCTTTTGCCACTGGGGCAGCGGCGGTCGCGGCCTCGTGTAGTGTGTGCCCCATCTCATTGCAAGCACGTTTTTGCCCCCTGACAGTTGCCACTCTGATTACCAGGTGGCAGGATTAGACCGTCGGCGCAGTTGTCGATTGGTGATGTGCTCGCGCTCTGTCGATTGCCGGGCGAAAACAAGTGCTTTTCAGGCTTATCCTGTGAGAAGTTATGGCCGCAGATGTGTAAAGCAGTTTGCAAACCAACCACACGTCACGCATGGACGAGAAAGATGCGCTTTTTTTTCGCTTGACGTGAGATACAAAGCTCTTTTCGCATTTAGGACGGTCGAATAGGATGACGGTGGCAAAACGGACGTCGTCCTGCGGATAATTGTCAGAGAAGCAGGTCGTACATGCCGCACCTGACGACTCCAATGGGTTCGACACGTCCTAAAGTTTGCTATCACTCGTCCTGAGCGACTTTGAAAGGCTCGCTACGATTTTGTTCGTAGCGAATGGCCACATACGTACATATAGTAGTAGCTGCTCAATGCTTATGACTGTCAGACGTTACGTGTAGAATAAAAGAGCATGGCCTGCACCAAAGCCTGACTTCTCTTGTTCTTCTTCGCAGCAGTCAAAACCCGACAGCTGACTGTATCTTCGGCAAGGCATTGCTCGGATACGCAGTGCGCGAAGGATGGAAAATGACGCACTATTGAGCCCCAATCGATTCCTTTGCACGTTGTCAGAGCGCACTGTCAGAGTCCTTTTCGTCGCCACAGTCCTAAAACGCATACAGCCCAACAGAGAGTGAGTCCTGGACATCAGAAGTGCGATCAACACGTAGAAAGTCAAACATTGCATGTACAAGCGATACGGGTCGTCCAGTAGGCCGTAGCAGTGTGGTCGCACGTGGCGAAATGTGCTCTGTAGCACACGTGCGTGGAATCTGACCCATGCAATGACAACGAGTTGTGGACCGTGAGGCTGCAGAGATCGACAAAAACGAATCCACCACTTCTGCGACGACTACGCATTCTTTGCAGATACGTATTCCAATAGCGCGGCACTCAGTGGTGTCAATCTCATGTTATTTATCAGCATACCGTCATCAGTACGGCGCGAACATTGTCGACCGTTACCAGTAGTCTGACTAGTGATGTTTTGTCCAGTAGTAAGTTGCTTATACCGCGTGTACCTGCCCTTCGTATCGATGTGATGTCCAGCACTTGTGCTGCATTCAACAAGTCGGTCTGTAAGGAACGAGTCGTCATGCATGGCTACGACACAGTATCCAGCGCCTGTAAATGAGTGCTTAGCTGACACTGCTGGGACTGCGTCGTATGATTGATGGCAGACATCGCTACGATCGACGCTTCGTTCATTTAGCAATGGTCTTGTATCCATCCAAATGCTCGTTCCGATTGCGAGGAGCCCACATGAGGCAATGGTGCAAGCCGGATATGAAAGACGGCAAGTTTGAGAATGCGAAACAAGTCGCCACTTCAGTGACATCAAACTTCATGTGCGAGGTCACATCGCACGGACACACGTCTTTCCACTCAATTTTCCTGGCTAGAAGCATCCACGCGCGATACGGAAGACGCTGACTTGCTTCCAAAACACGACGAGTCAGAAGTTTACCAGGCGACGATAAAGATGTTGATCGATTATCCAACTTCTTTGGGTGTGCAATGCCATAACGTGCGCTCGAGAATGACGCTGTCTTGTCCGCTGCCGTAGTTCGCTTGTCGGAAAGACCAAACGCTTGGACTGAACAGTTCGTGGAGCAGGATTATCCCTCCTGCTACGGTTGTGTCGCAGCGCTCAAGTACTTCTCCATCGTGCTTCGGATCTTGTCGAGTCCAGCCGAGCTGACATCGAACCAGGAAGCGTCTACGCTGGTTGGAAGTGTACTGAATCCTGCTGTATCCTTGTCGACGCCATCTTGAATGCGCTCCAGCACTATCCGTACCAATCCGTTTCGGCTGCTATCCTGCTCGTCTTTTTCCCTGATAGCGACATCCGGCTGCATCACCTTTTCCCATGAAAGCTCGTTCTCGACATCCAGAAGCATCTCGTGATTCTTCACAACGTCCATCACAGTAGCTCGAGCGCTGCGAGCGGCACCGTATCGAAGTTTTGTGCATTTCTCGTGCTCCTCTGATGATCCATCGTTTGCTCTCCTGCTGGGTCGTGAGTGAGCTGTCCACAAGTCGGCAAGCGAGCACGTGTGCGGCACGAACGAGCACACGGTTTTAGCTACGACAGCGAGCTGATCGTGCAGCGCGTCGCCTTCGTAATCGTTCCAGAACTCGATCGGGTTCGATGTGTTGGCACTGTTCCACACACCTGGTTCCCCAAAGTCTCCTTGCTGCTTCATGTAGTCATTGTACGACCGAATGAAGTTACTTTCGTCGAAGCTGGAAAGGAGAGTACCAGCCACACAAACAGCAACACCGCGGCACCGACGCAGTCCTGATACGCTCAAGCCAACGCCATGCACACGTGGGTCGAGAACAAGACAAGCCAAGAAGTGCTCTTCCGCGTAGCAAGCCAAACGTCGCTCGAACTTCGCACGTAGAACGTCAGACTGGTCGTCAAAAAGCGGCGAGTGCATTGCCACACCAAAGAGCCATATCCACAGCGCCAGCATCTGCCCCGACGTCGTAGTTGGCATCTCGCTCAAGACCGATACAAAGTGCGCCGGTGCCAACAGCTGATCAGTGTGCCGTAGATTAGTCCAGACGCTGTCACTGCCACCCATGTCAATCAACCGATGCAGCATCGGAGATGAAGCATCGTTCTCTTCGGAAATCGCCAGCCGCAGCATTGCTTCCAGGCGAGTGGCCTGCTTCACGGCGATGGCAATCGAGCGCCAGCTCGTGCGCGATACGTGCGCGAACGCATTCACGTGGCCGTCGATATTGCTCGTGTCCGACACCACACGCAGCAGGACGTGCTGATGTAGCGACGGTATCCTGTCCAGAGCATCTGCAAGCAGAACTGCATTGTCCAGTGCCTCTTCCAGCGATGCGCTGCCGAGCACGAGCTCCCGAACGAGCAATGCCGTCTGCTGGATCACACACGCGCCCATCAGCACCACCGGTTTGGCTGCTGCACTGGCGTCTCGGAGCAGTTCGGTCCGCGCGTGGGCGTACGCGCCCGCCGTTGAAGTGCACAAAAAGAGCTTCGCACTGGGACTGACCGACTGCACTTTGGACAGCACGGAAAGTAGCGCTGCCACGTCCGGCACCGCTGCAGCTTCGTGGCCAACGGATAGAACGAACGCCCGTTGCCACTCGTCCACTGCAATGTACGTCGACGTGCTCGTTGCTCCACTTCTGTCCCCATCTTCGTCTTCTTCCGTAGCGTCACTGGCCACAACTGTAATGGCACTCGAACTCGCCAAAGCGTCGCAGCTGTCGCGATCGTATTGCACTACCAGTCGGTCCAACACGTCCGTTCGTGCGCGGGCAGCAGTCAATGGAAACGCATCGACGTCTGACCGGCGCACGAGTTCCATGGCCGAGCGAAACGCGGCATTATCCAATAGTGTCCACGGACACCGCGTGGCCACAAGAGCCGTCGTGAGCTGATCTTCAACGGTCTGCCAATCTGTACCCACTTCACGTTTGGTCCGCGTGGCAGTCGAGTCGATCACTGACGTTTCGCCACTCGACGGCGGTGCAAACCTCTCGGGTAGTGACATGGCTGCATTTGATACCGACTCGGCCGCCGGTATCATCGGTTTGTCCAATACCGAAGTACCCGTCAAAGTGGGTGCCGTCGGGTCTGCCGTGACGACGGTATTAGGCACGAGGGACATGTCGGTACCGGTTTTTGTAAACATCGCCTTGACATTCGGTGGCACATGAACACATTTCGCTGCCAAGTGCAGTCGCAGCCGTCCACTCAATTGCGGCGTGTCGCACCGGCAATACAAACAGCGCATCTTCTTCACCTTGAGGGTAGGGACTGCCGAGTCCACTGGAGGTGGGACGTCCACAAAGTGGTCGTACACGGGGCCACGTTTGCGGCCGGCGGTTTTCGGACCAAAGTTGCCACTTGAGGGGGCCGACGACGACGGAACGTCGGTCGAATGCGGCCGACTGCGAGGGGGCGGACCTGGCGCGACGGACACTGGCACGAGTCGCTGCGATTCGAACATGGCGGTATAATCCGGATGTTTCAGACGCAAGTGCGTCAGTAGGTTCGTGTACCCCGTGCTGGCTGCCTGAGTGTACACGTTTTGACACACTTTGCAGCGGTGGCGGTTCGCGCCCCCGAGCACCACGCGCGTTGTCTTGCGGTCCGTTTGTGGCACGAGCGATTCGCCCGAAGACAGCGTCGATGTGGGGGTCGCAGCTTCTGGCAAAGGAGGGCGCTCGGCCACGGGCTCAAAGAAGAAGCTGCAGATGTCTGCAGAGTTGGCCGCTGGCGTCGAAGTCATTCCACTGGTCGCGTTGCGCTGGAAAAACGATCGACCCAATCAAAAGGGACGAAATTTGTGCGCTGAATGGTCTGGACGAGTATTTATCCGTCCGTGGATTGCGGATATTATCGCTGGATGATATCAGGATCTTTGACACGTACATCGCTCTGACCAAACACACGACGCCGCGTCACGAAGTATCGCGCAGATACGGCCGTTCGTATTGGCTGAGACTGTGCCTATGATCACTTTTGCTGACTATGTCTGGTCGATCGTAGCAATCAATAATCGACTGCACGACACGTCAACTTCAGTACTTCTTTGTTGGTCGCTCACGTTGTCGTCCTCGAAAGCAGTGGCGATGAGAAGCGTCGACCTGAATCGGACACTGTCACAAGCAAAAGACCGAAAAGCTGTCGCAAATGTGGACGAGAGCAAAATGTGACGTGCGACGGCGACACGTGCAGATAGTTGCGACCAGTTTACCCACTTGATGACTGTGTGGGGATATAGTCTCTCGATGCTCAAACACCAGTTGCACGTGGCGCTCACAGCATTTCCACGGACTGTCAGCCGACTGTTCTTATGCTCTCCAGAGCCTTTTTCGAGACGTGGTCTCGACTGTATTGAACACTTGTTGTTTTCAATGCAGTTGCTTCAACATGCATTGAACACAATATGTGTTTGTTATATTCGAGACAAATGCTATGACAAGAAACACTTATTGTTTTCAACGCCCTCTGCGCACCGAATGACAACAGCGCGTGCAACGAGTCGATGAACGTCAGAGCCCGTAAAGAACAGCAAAACGAGTCTCGATAAGGGCACAAACATGTGGACAATTGTACCAGTCGACCGCCAGATGCACGTGATACAGCCAAAGCAGCAGCAACGCAGAGGTCTCGTGGAGAGGACTCAGCTGTCGTATTGACTGGATAGATACAGCAGCTACAAGTAGAGGTGCAGCTTCTGACACTTCACTTGTACTCATGGATTCGACATCAGGTGATGTGATCGTGAGATCACATGTGAGCCACAAGCAGAGGCGGACAGGAGACAGAATCGTCCATGACAGTCTCACTGCAGCCAGGACGCACCAATGAACGAATGGCGAGCAACAACAGCACCGCACATAGCAAGCGGCACTGCGGACGACGTCGTGGAGTGACAACGTCTTTCCCGACAATGCTGCGAGCAATTGCGTACGAACAAACGAGCCATCGAGAATCGCCACCTCGAAGTCGGCAGCATCGACACGTGGCCAGAAAACACGCGTGCCAGCCGTATCGCATCGAACGAAGAGCAACACAACATTTACGACCACATGACAACGTCAACAATGTCTGCCTATTCCATGTCATGGCCCCTCATCTTCCCATGCACAAGCGACACGCCGTCCTCTACTAATCGTCCCAATTGCCGCCTCAGTGCAGCAACATTTGCAGTCCCGGCACGAGAAGGTCGACGATTCCTCGCCGTTTCCTCATTGTCCAACGCGCAGAACGACTTGACAACTTGCTCTGTCCCACGCGGTTAGTTGTTTTGCTTGAGCTGGCGCACATAGTTACTGAGACGGTGCTGCGCCTTGTTGGCAATCTGTTCCGGCAAAACGAAGCACGACCATTGCAGTGAGCACAACTACAGGGCACAGCTCATCAAGGCAGAGCTCGTATCACTCTACGAGCCCCACAGCACAATCAACGTACGTCAATGGAAGGATTGATAGCCAGCAGTGCACGAATGTCTTGCAACGCAAGACGGTAGCGCTCTAAGCCTTCGTAGGCCAGTGCACGTCGCAGCAGCGCCTTCTGGTTCTTCTCGTCGTACTCGAGCACGTGGGTGCAGTCGCGGATCACAGCCGAGAAGTTGCTCAGCTGCTGGTTGCACGCCGCACGGTTATTGTAGCATGACAGCGCGAGGTCCGAGCCAGGCTTGTCGCTACAGGCCTCGATGGCTTCACCGTACAGCTCAATAGCGGTCTCAAACGACGCGCTCTTGAACGCGTCGTTGCCACGCTCCTTCAGCAGCTCGGCTGGGCTCATGCCCGAGCGCTTCGCCTGCTCCGCACGCGCCTGCAGCGGCTCAATCTCTTTCACGAGACGGTTCAGGTCGGCATTGTTAAAGTCGACGCGCTGACCCGCGCGCAGCGTCGCGAGGGCCTCGTCGTACCGCTTGAGCCCCTTGAGCGCGACGCCGTGACGGTGGTACCCTATCGTCACAACAAGCAGTCGTCAGTCAACATGGGTTCAAAATCACTGGCTCTGAAGCGCCCGAGCGAGACGGAGTCGAAGTCCATCGATCAAGAGGTCGAGCAGCCACACGTTTGTGGTCGTCGTCCTCCTCCTCCTCGTCGTCGTCTTCTCGTCACGTGCCTTTGACAAACTGCGGGTTCAGTCGAGTGCACTCGACCGCATCGTCGACGGCTTCTTGGAACTTGCCCCAACCAGCGTAGGCGGCGCTGCAAACAGTAGGGAGACAGCACGACCGGGGGTGAGGATGCCAAACTTGATATGGGTACGTATACGTATACCAACAGCGACCGCGAGAGAGAGAGAGAACGCGACATCAACGACAGCGCATGTCCTTCTTTTCGTCGCCTTGTCGACAGCGTTCACGGACCTGCGGTTCGAGAAGTACACGTGGTTCAACGGGTCCAAGTCGATGGCTTCCGAGTACTTGGCGACGGCCGTGGGGTAGTCCTGCTGCTTGAACGCGTCGTTGCCCTCGCTTAAGTATACAATATCAACATAGAGAGTGAGCACGACGGACCGACCGACGCCACCGCTGATACACAACGAGAGCGATTGAAAGCGATCGACCGACGCAGACGATTCGGTACCGAATCCGACGGAAACGAATGTGGATATTTATACACATTAAACCACACGCACTTCTTCTTGGCGTCAGCAGTGGGGTTCGTCATGGCGTCAACTGGCGTGGGAGGCGGACGGTCGGACAGACGGCCAGACGAAGTTATTGACGGACTGAGCGGCTCACTTGATCGTTGTATCGGGGGGAGCCGTGTGGCCCTCTCATTTATTGGCTCCCGCGGACGTCGTGGAAATCGGTGGACCACACGACATCATGACCCGTCCGTTGTATGGGGCCGATCTGAGCCACTGTAGATTTAGAACGTCGAAGGCGCCGACGACTCTCCGCTAAGTGCGCACTTGCGCACAGGCTTCACATAGCCCACAGTAGCACAGAAAAGCACTTGTTACTGCGACGATCGCGCGAGCTGCGGCCGTACGCCCACAGCTGCACGGCCGACGTCCGACTGACTGACTGACTGACGCGACACTACACGTCGGACGCATTGCCGTCGCAATACCAAATCGGTGCGTTTCTCCACTGCACGAACGAGGAACACCGCGCGCCGTCGATCGATCGACCACAAGTCCGTCTGTCTGGTTCGTCCGTTCCACAGTCTTGAAAAAAGCGCTTTGTTGCCATTGTATTCCACGACGATCGCCAATACCCCTATCAAGAGACAATACCCCTATCGAGACACAATACCCCCACGATCGAGACACAATATCACGATCAAGAGTCAATAACACAAACACGAGCCACAATATCACGAACACGAGCCACAATATCACGAACACGAGCCACAATATCACGAACACGAGCCACAATCGTTCGCAAGACGCACGACACACTCTGCGTGTAACGCGACTTTAAGGATGGAAAACTACCAGAAAGTGGAAAAAGTCGGCGAAGGAACGTATGGCATTGTGTACAAAGCCCGGGAACTGTCCACCGGTCGGATCGTCGCGCTCAAGAAGATTCGACTGGAACCGGACGAAGAGGGCATTCCGTCCACGGCCATGCGGGAGATCTCTCTGCTCAAAGAGCTGTCGTCGCACCCGAACGTCGTGTACCTCTACGACGCGCTGTACCAGAAGAACAAACTCTATCTGGTCTTTGAGTTTGTCGAGCAGGACCTCAAGCGCTGCCTCGAGAAGCTGCCCGCGCGCATGGAGGTCTTCCAAGTCAAGAGCTATCTGTACCAGCTGCTCGCGGGCATTGCCTTTTGCCACGCGAACCGCGTGCTCCACCGCGACCTCAAGCCACAGAATTTGCTCATTGATCAGTACGGGAACCTCAAGTTGGGCGACTTTGGCCTTGCGCGGGAGTACGGCGTGCCGCTGCGACGGTATACGCACGAAGTGGTGACGCTGTGGTACCGCGCACCGGAAGTCCTGCTGGGGGCAAAGCACTACTCGACGCCAGTCGATTCGTGGTCCATTGGGTGCATCTTTGCAGAAATGGTCAACAAACAGCCGCTGTTTCCAGGCGACTCGGAGATCGACGAGCTGTTTCGCATCTTTCGCGTGCTCGGGACGCCGGACGAGACGCTGTGGCCAGGCGTGTCGACGTTGCCGGACTACAAGACGTCGTTCCCGCAATGGCGTCCGCAGCCGCTGTCGAAGGTCGTGCCGCAACTCGACCGCGTTGGCCAGGACCTGCTCTCGGTGCGTGTGTGTTGTTGTTGCTGCTGTTGCTGTCGTTGTTGTTGTTGCTGTTGTCGTTGTTGGTGGTGGTGGTGCTGGGTACTGAGACCGTTCCTCGTGTTGGCACTGACTGTTCTGATGCGTGCAGCGGCTGCTCGTCTACGACCCCAGTAGTCGCATCTCGGCCCGTGCTGCCATGTCCCACCCGTGGTTTGCCGACCTGCACCCTCAATACGCTTCATTCCGCAACAATGGCAACGGCAATGGCACGCAGACGTTTTTCTAGAATGCGCAAGACCGAAGCACGTAGTGGCAGTGGCAAACAGAGGAACGGGACTGCAGACGTGAAGAACGCGGCCAGAAGGCAAAGGACGTGTCACCAGCACAGCAAGCGCTGCAGGACCACTTACCTGCAGCACAACACGGCGGATGGCAACACACTACACAAAAAAGAAGAGGACGGCAGTCACGAGCACTGCTTGCCAAGTGCCCGAGCAAGTCCATGGATCAACGGCGATGGAGGAAGCGACTTGGGCGTGTCGAGCTGCCCGTTGCGTGCATTTCTCTGCTGGTGCGCCCGCATGTCCCGAGTCTTTTTTGCGCTATCGTCTTGCAGTGTCACTCGCAACACGCAGTCGTCGTTCAATCCACCGCGCGTGTTTTTCGTCCTGTCCAATCAGAGACATTCGCGCCATCGTCTCATCCAATCAGATACATTCGCGCCATCGTCTCGTCCAATCGGATCCCTCCATTCGCTCCCGCCGTCCGCACATACGCTCGAATCGTATCGCATCCCCCGCGCAGGAAACAATGAACGGACCTCCTCGCAAACGTCGCCACTACGGCGTCGACCACACAGCACCCGCCGCGACGTACGCAGTGCCTACGCCCACGAAGAGGGCGCGGCCTCGTCCCACGTCGCCGCTCCCTGCGCGCGGCGCCACAGGCAACCGGTGCCATCGACCCGACGCGTTTGGACGCCGCCCCGTAGCGGCCCGTGCCGAGTCGGAAGAGATCGAAGAGGACGAACACGTGGGAACGCCTGTGGCGCCAGTGCGCTGTGCACCGGTCGCCGCTCAAGCGACAGCGGACGTCGATGCGATCGGCAGTGACAGTGACAGTGGCGACGATCCCGCGATGCCGCTCGTCGTGTTCCAGTGCAGCACGTGCCGCTCGATCTTTGGCGACTCGTACGCCTTTGTGTGCTCCACCGAACAGCTGTGGCTCGTGACGCTGAGCCACGTGACCCACGTGGCGCTGGACCAGCACGTCCAGACAGCGGGCACGGGACTCGACGCCGGCAGTTCGTACCATGAGCTGCTGTGCCAGAACTGCCAAGCGGTGCTCGGGCGCAAGTACTTGACGACGCCCGTGGCGCTGGACGGCATTCGGGACCTGTTCAGCTTCTCGACCGAAGCCATCACGTCGTACGCACTCGGAGACCCCATGCAGTCGAGTGACGAGGGCGCAGTCGACAGGCAACGCGCTGCCGCGGCGTGCCAGTCGAGCCTGTTGACGCTGGCAGCCGATCGAAGCGAACTGGTGAGGCTGCGAGAAGAGATGGAAAAGGTCAAGGGGCTCATGGTGACGGTCGACGACCGACTCGCGAGCTTGGAAGGGGCCGAACCCGAGTCGGAAGAGGAGGCAGCACGACAGCAAAGTCTGCCGCCGCGGCCATGATCGACACGTGTGTAGAGGTTGTGCAACAAAGACGGTTCGATATCATCTCTCTCTTGGCTGCTTGCTCGTGTGCAGTGGCTGCGGAGGCGTAACGTGACGACTCAACGGCTTCCAGCAACGGAACGAACACACACCAGTGCCACGGCCGCTGTGCAGGCGGTGTGTGTGCGTGTGTGTGTGTGTGGCTCGGCCATGTCGTCGGTACACACGCACTGATCACTGCAGCACTTCAGCTTCCGCGTCGAAGACCGCGCGAGCAGCTTCGATGCCTGTGGGCGGCTTGGCCTTGCGCATCTCACCCGGTCTGCACAAATGCACACCAGGACACAGTAGCAGTAGCAACAACAGCAGCAGCAGCAGCAGCGCAACACAATGCAACAGTCAGTCCGTCCGTCCGTCCACAGCTGCGACTCGCGTTCGCTCCTTTCCAGCTCACTACTCGCTACCACAATCCCAACGCACAAACACCCGTACCGATCCACGTATTCGATCACTGCCATCTCTGCCCCGTCTCCCTTGCGGAAATCGGCCTTTAGAATGCGCGTGTAGCCACCTTCCCGCAGACTGCCAACACGCATTGCAAACGCACGTACAGCGTATACACACACACCCACACACACCCACACCCGATCAGACCACCTGCGCACGTGTGTATCCACCTCGTCACCCGCAAGCGAGTATACACACGCAGACGAGTATACACACGCCGACGTACGCGTAACGCGGTCCCACGACGTCAAAGAGTTTGGCCATGGCCTCGGGCGTGCGCACGATGCTCTGCGCGCGTTTGCGTCCCGGTTCGTCGCGCTGTTTGGCCATTGTCACGACTTTCTCGGCCACGCGGCGGAGCTCTTTGGCCTTGGGCAGTGTCGTGCGGATCCGTTCGTGCTCAATGAGCTGCGTCACCATTGTACTAGACGGATCAGAAGCAGAAGCAGAGTCAGAGTCCATCGCCTACACAACGCCCCAGCGACTGTGACCGGTGCAATAGGACTCAGACGACGTCGTAGGGGACAACAGACATACAGACAGACAGACGGACGTACCGCAGCATTGCTTGGCGATGGGACGACGTGCGGTTGAGCTTCCGGAAGGCGACGCGGTGCTTCATGGCGCGTGCAGTGGCGGCGGTCGATGAGGAGCTCTTGAGCCGATTTCGTCCAATGGATCGAGGACGACGTGCGGTCGGTCGGCCGGGGCACGAGGCGTGTACCTTCGTGCAACATTTGCCGCCAAAAACTCGATCGACGCAAGTGGCACAACTGGCCGCGTTTGCTGGCGATTCCACTTGACTGCAACAGTACTTCTGCATTGCAAGTGGCAGAACCGATTGCGTGCTGCAATTTCGTTGGATGAACGAACGCGACAGGTGTTGCACGTCGAAAGCCATAAGGGGACCTGACGTTGCAGCTTGACGAGCGCCGGACGTCAACCGACTGACTGCCTGTCGTCACGAGATCGCAGGCGTCTGTTGTGACGTCAAGAGAGTTGACGACTCGTGTCGGTATGTAGTGTGGTAGCGAAACGAAAAGAGTGGCGGACGAGGGCTCAGACTGCACGTGAGTCGAGAAGAGCGAGCGAGCGAGTGAGGCAGTGAGTGAGTGAGGCGAACTACGGTACAGTCTCAAGTGCGACTGGTGTCGATAGTTGCTACACGGAGACGACTGCACTTGCACTTGGCTCTGTTTGACAGTCATTTCTGCTGCGAGCTGCGACAACGTGCGCGGGGTTTGAGGACTCTGGAAAGAGGGCAACCAGTACGAGCAAAAGGGTTTTCCCACACCCTTTGAAGCGAGTGGAAGGAACGAAGAAACTGTTGCAAACGTACATGTCGTGGACCTATTGCCTGTGACGGCACAGTTTCTGCTCGGGATACGTTCTATGGGTAGTACACTTGCAATGACACTTCGTGCAGCTGATGCCGACCTCGTTGCACAATTCGTGATCACTTCCCGACAGGGCAACATGGAAGCGCAGTGGCAACTGGAGCAATCACATACCGCATAGGACTAGTAGTCGTACTGGAAAATGTGGTGGAGATTGTGTGCGCGACTGTAGCGTCGCAGCAGCACGTTAGGAAGCCATTGAGGCGGTGGTACCCCTGCATCATCACTGCGTACTCACTCACGCATCGACAACAAACTTTGCAATCTTGCAAACGCTGTTACTTCTTAGCTCACGACACTGCCTGCGACTCGCTGCAACCCCTGGAGCCCGTCACAGCGTGGGCAACACCTCGATTTCGATGTGGTGAGGTGTCACCTGCGCGTCGTCAAACGTCAGGATCCGTTTGCGATCGTCCTCGCTGCACACTGCAGGTGTACGCAGCTTGGCCAAGTACACGCACATACTGGGTTCCTCAATACCAGAGAGCACCGTGGGCTCCGGGCCGCACTCCAACGTCACCGTCAACGATCGTCTCGGGCCATTCCAGCACGTTTGGCCATTCGAAAACTTGATCTGCTTCACAGCTTTGTCAGCAGACGACGCAGCTTCAGGAGCGACAGATAGACCCTCGCTGTCCTGCATCTCGGGACCCTTGATGTCCTCCATATCGCCCAAAATGACCCGGTCTTGGGTCGCCTGGCCAAAGAAGCAAACCTTGTACGTGTACTCGCCCGTGCTGGATTCCACACACTTATCGCGCAGTCCGAAGAACACACGGTCCACGCCATAGTCCTTGTCCATCATTTTTTGCGCCTCAGACAACTTGCGTTCCTCCTCCTCAGCTTTCTTGTTTGCATCTTCGTGCTCTTTACGGGCTGACACAGCTTGCGTGGACTCATAGCGCTCGGCGACAGCCAGCTCTTCGTAAAGCAGATCAATCGGGTGGGTCTCCACCTCGGGGAGCTCCAAGTCGTCCGAGTCCAGCTGATCGTCCTCATCGTCATCAACCGATGCGTCAGTTTTCGACCCCGCTGCACTTTCATCGTCTTCATCCGCTTCTTCCTCGGACACTTTCTCCGCTTTCGCTGCCTCCTCTCTGTCCTTCGTACGCTGTTTGATCAACTTCTCAATGCGACGCGTCTCCTCTTGACGGGCCTCGTCTCGCTCACGGAAAGCCTCGTCTTCTTCATCCATTGGTGTCTTTTCCACCTCTTCGTCTACCCCCACAGCTGCCTCACGTTCCTTCCGTATAATCGGCAGCATATCGTGCTTTGCCGACATACCTTCCCGTCCAATCTCAAGAATGATCGACGTCAGCTGCTCCTTGGTCAAGTCCAGTAGCCCCAATTGCCTCAAGATCTCGCGTTTACTCGCCGCCGTGCGTCGCTCCTTTTCTTCCTTCTCCACTCTCTCCTCCTGCTCCATCGTTTTGTTCAGTTGCTCCACATTTACACGCAAAGAAGCCACGTTGGCTTCCAGCTGCCGCATCTTGAGCTCTTCCTCGTTCCAGCGCTTGTGGCCCTCGGCTACCAGCACAGCGCGATCCTTCAGACCGGCATCCACTTGTTGCATCAACTCTTTCTTGTCTTCCATGAAGCGCTGCATCTCGTTGGCACACTGCGAGGCACAAGACGCGCCACTCGCGTACTCGTCAGAGCCGTCGCAGCAGTCACAGACGCCGTCGTTCACGCGAGAGGTCGGGAGATCCGTCGCGAAAAAGCCAGCGTTCTCACAGTGAAAGACGGCCTTTGTGTGCGAACACGCGGACGTGCCGGGCTCGTCACTGCCGTCCGCGCAGTCGCAGTAGTTGTCGTTCAGGCGCGACAGTGGCAGTTGCTGGCGCCGGTCGTCGCAATGGAACTGCGGACAGAGAGAGCAGCACGAAAGTGGGTGCACACACAGAGACACGGGAGGTACGTGTGTCAGTACCGTTCTTCATGTTCGATTGCGATACGTTTGACGGCTCGATATGGTGCAAAGATATCATTCTTCAGGGGAGTGTCACGTACGCTGGACACGGTGCGGAGCTTCTGCAGCATCTGCGGCGAGATGCCGCGCCACTGTTCACTGCTAGAGGCGTGTGCGACGAGAGAGAGCAGCGCGAGCGGCGCCAGGACGAGTCGCGGGCGCGCCATGACGTTCGCAGGTGACGTGTCTACAGCAGGAGCCAAAATGATCTGCTCGACGACGGCGGTACACTGGACCAGTCATGGCTACAGTCATGATCTATTGCTAAATAGAGAGAGAGCGCGCGCTCGCGGGTAGAAGACGGTAGTCAAGATGAGATTGGTGCGGAAGTCAAGATGCGATTGGTGTTTATATTACTTTCAGCTAAATAGGATTCCTGACAAAGCACTACTTAGTACTACTATCTACAGCTCCATCACGCCCGAAAGCTGCAAGACGGCCGACTAAACTACTACTACTACTACTTTACAAACGCGCTCGCTCGCCCACGTCCGTGAGCCGTCTGACGTTGGGTCAACCACAGCCCATAGCAGTCGCCAACGCGCCGTCTCGTCTTCACACGTTGACGAACGATGGCGAGCGGTCGTAGCGCGGGGCGCTGCAATGCGCCAATGGCGACGCGTCGCCCGTCTCTTCGTCGCTGCTGAATAGCATGGCCTCTAGAATCGCCAAGTCGCGCTGGTCGAACAGCGGCAACGCCGACGGCGACGACTCTGTTGGGGGCACTTGTGGCTGCTGCATCTCCACGAGCGGCGACGCCACTGGCGATGGCACGTGCATTGTGACCGCCATCATCGTAGTTGATGGTGGAGAGAAGGGCTCTGTCCCGTCAAAAGGGCTCAGCTGCTGCTGCTGCACCCTGTCAGTGTCCGGATACAGCGTCCGTCGAGTGGCTACTGTTGCACTGGACCGCCAATGGTTCAGTTGCTGTTGCGCCTGGATCTGCTGTGCCAGTCGCTGGCGCTTGAGCTCCTTCTGCTGCTGCTTGAGCACGCGCCGTCGATGGTCCAAGCGCATCTGATTGCGGTTGGCCTTCTCGCGGTGCATGGCGCAGAACTTGTGGAGACCGCCGCTCTTCTTGTGCGTGCGCTCGTTCTCGCAGCGTTTGCTCGAGTACTGGCACCGCAGCGCCTCGGCAACGTCAGTCGGTCCGCTGCTGTGGAGCGGCCCGGAAGAGGGCGTCGACTCGATGGAAGAGGACGTTGTTGTCGTAGCAGTAGTGTCATTGGTGGCGAATGTGGTGGTGGTGGTGGTGGTGGTACTACTACTGGTAGTGGTACAGGAGTTCATTATCGATTGGCTATGGGGGCGTGTGGTACAGCTCGAGGCGTGTCGGCGGTCAATGCGAAGAGCTGTTTGGTTGCTCGCGAATTGGACTCTGACGTGTAGCGATTGTCGCGGCGCTTCGTGCTGAGACGATCGTCGGACAAGCGCAACAAACTGCCGCCTCTAAATGTTTCAACTTGGCATGATCGAGAGAGAGAGTGAAAGAGCGAGGCCGGTGCAGCAGCAGCAGCAATAGCAGCCGTAGCAGTCAGTCGCACGCGAACGTTCTATCTCCAGGAACAGAAATTGCCTCGCGTGGGAAATCCAGCGGTACTATTTTCGACAACGAGGATCTGTCTTCGCGTCGTGACTGGTTGAAATAAACAATGCGCGCTGGAGGAATCAGCGATCGGCCAATCACGTGGCGTCTCGCCTCGTCTGGAATGTTCGCCGGTGCGCGCCACGTTTAAAAGCAAGCCGCTGTGAGACGCTCCTCGTCGGGTTCCCCCCTGTCGCACCGATCATGCCAATCAAGTCGGCCGTGCAAACGATCGCGCTTACATCATGTGGGCAACACCGTGACAGAGCCGGACGCGAGGGACGCGACGGGGCTAGGTGACTGGAAACTTGGTGGGAGCGTACGTAGGTGAAAATTTCGGTAGTTGAAGAGCATCAAGCGCAACGACTGTCCAAGATTCGTTGCCTCAAGCGTTTCCTCGTTGGCGTTGGCGTTGTCGTTGCTGCTGTTGCTGTTGCTGCTGCGACTCGGAGCCTCGTTGGCCACACTGAGTGGCACGATCCTCCTCTGGACCTACGTGAGCCGCCAAAAAAGCGCATGAAAAATAACGCCCACCATTCGTCCGTCGTCGAAAAGCACTGCGAGCGGACACGTGAAACCTTCGCACATGTACGTACGTAGCTGCTCGCGAGCGAGCAAAGATAACGCCCGATAAGCGACATGGCTCCTCTTCCTCTACGGTACTGTACCGCGTTCGAACAAACCGCTCGGCCAATGCGCAGAGGTCGCATGGCACCTATTACCACTCACTACTGGATGCATAGCACATCTTTGACGTTCCGATGCGGTCCTAGTGCTGCCGGCTGAGTCGATGACAAACTCAAAAGCTGTGGTCCCCACGCGGCAGTACACAGCGAAGCGAGCGCTTCATGTCGCAAGAGGAACCGGTTGTTGAGCTCCTGGCACTGGCACCTCAGGCGCTGAAGTCTTCCGGATACGGCTCCGCAGATGCGGCAGCAGGAAAGACCGACCACGACGCAATGCGACGAGTCGTCTGCGGGGAATCATTCGCCGGCATGGTGCGAGACATGTACGTGCTACGGTTGGGTCCGCTGTAGCCATCTGTCACGATCAGCGCGTGCAGGTCCTTGAACGAATGTGCTTTTTTCTGCTCGTGCGTCATCATGTGCGAGCGAGAACGATCGGCTGCTCGATTGGGGTTGGAATATGTGCACTATCCCCTCGCACGGCCCATCGATGAACCACTCCGTCGTCGTGGGCTAATCGCCTTTGTTTACACACGTCGGGCAGCTGCGAGCGCTTTGCACTGCCGACTGTAACTACTGATAACAGACACGTGTGGCCAGGCGTCCGTCCCCACATCAGTCGATCGATTCAGCAAAGCCGTTGCAGGGTCCGTGCCCGGCCACGACCGGTCACCCATTGCACCATCGAAATGCAGTCGTCGAGTCAGTCATCCACCCAGTCCAGTGCAGAGAAAGTCGCGAGCTCATGCAAATGTGCCGTGGCGTCTGACAAAACAAGTCAGTCGGCGCTGAGATTTCGCAGCGTGGAAGTCCAGTGGCTCCGAACTCTTGTCCAGTAGTGAGCCAAACGATCGCCGAAACAGGTTGGGACTGCAAAATACAGCTGCAGCGACGGTCCGATCATGTAGGTCATCAGAACGACAGCGTGTCGCGCAGAAGAAGTAAACAAGTGAGGGGGTAGTTCGTGTCACGGCTGTTTGCGGACCCAGCCGGTCACAGGAGGACGTTATCGAGCGAGCAGTGTCTTTTTACATGTGCTTTCCTTGTATTATTGTGACTATTATGGTAGAAAAGAGCGAAAGAAGTTGCAGCGCGCGCGAGTGCCGTTGGCGTGTGGCGCGCTACTTTCTGTCGCGGCAGTAATTTACTCTATGCGGGGGAATCGATGAACGAACAAAATGGACGGGTGGGTGCGTGCGTGGCTGCGGCAGCGCGGCCCTACAGGGACATGTTGCTAGACGCCATGCTGGCTGCCGGGTAGGACGCCATTGCCATGCTCATGGGGAAACTGGTCGGGTACGCCGCCGCCATGTCCTCGTCCGTGAAGGCACAGCCGTCGCTGTCCTCGTCGTCGAAGAGCATGGACTCGAGCATCATCACCTCCTCGTGCGAGAGGTCACAGATTGGCTCCTTTGGCTCCATCATGTTGGTGACGGCATTGTACTCCATGGGCACTTGCGCCGCGTCCATGAAGCGTTTCTTGCGCTCGACCATTTGCTGGCGAATGAGGCGGCGCTTTTGCTGCATGCGTTGCTGGTTCACATTGGCCTTCTTGCGGTGGAAGTCGCATAGTTTGTGCAGGTCGCCGTTGTCCTTCACGGCGCGGTGGTTATTGCAGAGCTTACTGGGATACGAGCACCGCACTTCCGTCGGCAGCAGTGTCACGGTCTGCTTGTTGTCCGAGGCAGGAGCAGCAGCAGCAGCGGTGGCGTTGTTGTTAGCAGACATGGTCGAGGTCGTGAGTGTGTGTGTGTGTGCGGTGTAATTGAGATGTTGATGGCGAATTGAAGAGTGACGATCGCTGTAGTCCCTCCCGACCGGTTGGGGTGCTACTCCGTGCTGCTTCCCATGTTACGGCGCCGCTTCGAGACCGCCACAGCAACACCGAAAGTAGCAACGATGCGTCGACAAATGCGCTACCTGCCTCAAGCCCGAGCGTACTCTACTGAACTCTGCGGCAGCACGCGCTCGAGATTTTTAAGCGGTCAAGTTCCCGTCCAGAACGGTTCTTGATTGCTATATCTCGTCTTGAGCGTACTGGAGCTAGTTTGAGTAAAGTGCGCTACATGTCGACCGAAGCCGTACCTCCGTATTGTCGCCGTCGCGACGACGTCTACGACAGCGTTGAGCAACAAGCGCCGCTCGATGTAATGTAACGGAGACTGTCTTTGCTGCCCGATTGTGGCTACTTTGAGCTGCGAAAGCGGCTCCAAGCTGCAAGTGCTCAGAGCGTGGACCGCTGAGATGTATAGACAAAGCTGGCTCGAACGTACTGTTCGGGCGTTAAGCACGAACCGGCTTGCTCTGCTGCGAGGGAACTGTTCTCGGCGAGGTCCCCGGGCTCTTCATCGTTTCAGTAAGCGACATGTTGGCGAAGTTTACAGATCATCACGCGCGACCCCACCGTGAGGGCTGAGGAAGAAGAAGCGTTCGCAAGCACTACGATGGATGGCAACTGCGACAGGCCGAGAGCAACTGCATGCATCTAACGCAAGCGGTCGATGACAACATATTGAGAAGCAGTACTCATTCGGTCCACGGCGAAGTGCTTTCGTGACAATGACCAGTGCATGGCTTGTGAACAAGTTCACCTGTGCAAGTGGCATCAGTTTCCAAAGCTATTCCTGCGTGTGTTTCTCGGTCCCGTATTCAGATGGTATCCGAAAGTATCCGAAACATGGGGCGACTGGCGAGCCATACTCGACGCAACGTGACGCTGCTGCATCGCTCGTTTTCAGTACCGACGTAACTCGAACGATGAACTCTGGTGCTGAGCCGCAGAGGACGCGGCCGTCGCCCGCAGTGCTTTTCTTCTTTTATTACTGCTTCCGGCGTGTCCCCAAAGGGTTCTGGGAAGCATGAAACATGCGACGTCTTGGACCGAGTCAGACTTCCTTCCAGCAGTAGCAACGCCACTTGCATCTACCGTAAGTTGCCTGGTTTCGACATGTAGTCAGACCCACCACACCAACGCGCGATGCTTACTTTCCCTCTTTGCCTCCTTCCAGTGTGTGTGTCGTCGGCTTGCCGCCCACACAAACGCTCAGACTGGTCAGTCGTCGTGCAGAAGAAGTGGCTCGGAGCGGATCGACCGAAGTACAGCGTTCTCGTTGCCCGTAGCATACGGTACGGACTTTGACTCATCTCAGGTTGGCCCCACTGCGTGGAAACCACACCGCAGCTCTCACTGTCACCATCCTTGGGAACATCTGCGAATGAGGCGTCTTCAACTTGACACCCGCGACTTCATCTCGATGTCTGCTTCGTGGCGTGTACGCCATGGCGAGGGAAACCGACTGACTACCCCACCGGATGGATCCCTTGTTTCGCATGGGCGATTCGGTCCACCTCCACTTCAACTGTCGTGTGATCCACAAAGGGCTCAACTGGAAATGCCCCTACGTCGAAGCTACGTCAAAAATCCAGCTCGTGACATGTACACGTGCCGCGTCATGCCATCGCGTGCTTTGGTACCTCAGAGGGAACAGCGCAGATCGAATGTGTTCGGCGGACCACAGGCCATGTGACTCTCAGCCAGAAGGCGTGGTGGGCATCCACGAGCTCTCGCTGACCAACGTGTTTCCCTCGACGCAACGATATACCAAACACTGCTGACTACGTATGACGCTCCCTGGGAACACGCACGAGGCTCACAATGACACATCCAACCGGTGTTCGTCTACAATTATCATAGCGAGCGCTCACATGGACAAGACATGAGCGACCACTATCGCTGGAAGTTATTGGCTCGATGAGACCCCCAAGCGGGTACTCATCGGCCTCGTTGACGAGATACAAAGACAGAGTAAGCACCAGCCACGCAGACTCCTTTGTGACTGCAGTTCCCAGCACTACGACCAGTATTGACGACAAGTGCTCGAAAAACGTAGACGCGCTGATTCGAAAGTGGGTCGAGCTACTGCTTTTGGTGTCAAGACCATCATCGCCTTGTACTGTGCGTGACTTTGTTGACAACGCCAAGGCGCTCGACATGTGGTCCAGATCCGCAGTAGTTGCAGCTTCGGATCCGCGTAACTCGATGGCGCATATGCGCTGCGCCGGATCAAGCGCGTAGAAGCCATGAATGTGCACTGGTAACATAGATAGACCATGTCCACTATCGTGGGCGACTCTTACCGTCGTCTCCTCACGGCGTCGGCGGTGCTGTCCACTCTCGTTGGCGTGTGCTTCTCCGCTGAGATGGCGATTATCATAACTGACCAGCGCTGGTACATAACCTGTGCTCGGCGTTGTCTCGTCCTTGCGATGAGACGGCCAACCGTCTTGAAGAGCTACTCACTTTTTGGCTCTACATGCTGTCCGCCACCACCGATCATCTGACTGACATGGCACGACCGAGTAGCGGCTCGTGCAGACCGGAACGACTACGGTGTAGACAGCGTCGAATGGCTTTGTCGCTTACACTGTGACTCGTTAAGCGACAAGATGCTGCGACTTTCAGTTGGGCGCTGGTGCCGTGTCGGCCTCCTACAACTTTCTCGAGCATAGGGAAAGGCCACTGAACGACAGCAGTCAGCCCCTCGTAGCCACAGGCGGCTTTCCAATCGAGTCAGCAAGTGATTGCTGAGGAAGCGCCACGCAGCTTTTCACATGGCAACGTGACGGCCCTTTGCTTTGTGGATGCCCAAGTGGGCAACGACGAGGGCGAACGCGTTGGGAGCAACAAACACTGACTGACGTTGAAGCGCAAGGAGACAACGAGACGGAAGAGACAAACTGAAGATCCCGAGCCACGTCGGACGGCGCTCGTCGTTGCGGCGGCGGCGGCGGCGGCTGATAATAATACAGTACGGAGACAAAAGGGTGGCACGAATCTGGCGCTGAGTCCATCGACTCAAGAGACCGACCGACCGACCGAATCGACCGATCGATCGTCGGGTCTGGTGCCACCCACAGGACCCGAGTCATGTGGCCGTGTGTCCTGCGTGGTCCACACCCCCGACCACCGCCCTCGAGGTTGCTCCAAGCGGCCGTCTTCTACGTACAGCACGACGCGATGTCGACCGAATCGACAAGCCGACTCGTGCCACAACCTCGAGCGGCAAACGCCTCGTTCCGATTGGCTGTGGCTCAACGACACAACTCGCGCCCCCCTACGGCACAACACGAAACCCAACGAGCGGCTCCGGACGACCGACCGATTGACCGATCGATTGACCGATCGATCGACTGAGCACTCACTCACTCACTCACTCGCTGCGTCGGCCTCTTGACGCCCCTCAGCCTTTTCCCACTGCGCCCCACGTCACCGAAGCAGCAATGGTCCTGATGATCTGCGTCAAGCGCTCGACGCCCGCGCTCAAGTGCGTACTTAGCGGTCTTGCTGGCTGCGCTGGCAGTCCCGGCCCCGGGCGCATGTTGTATACGCGTATACACACACGCGTACTCACCCCCTCGAGTGTTTTTCCCCACCTGCCGCTCGCTCGTCCAGTGGTTGTCCGCACGACAGAATAGGGCGCCATTTGTGTCGTGTGTGTTGTGTGTGTTGTGTGGACACACGGACCCACTGAGCGAGCAGTGGCCGACTAGGGGAAGCCTCGAGGGCGGTATAATGTGTCGTGGCCGCTGTTTCTGTCGCTTTTGGCGGTCCCTTGTGCGGTTGCACGCGCCGACATCGCCACTGGACTGACTTTTGTCTTCATGTACCTATGTGTGCATGTATACGTATACTCACAGGACGCTCGGCCTCCAAGCCCGTGGCATGGCCACCGAGAAGCAGATCCTCCAGCGCATCACCGGCACGTCGAACATCGCCAAGATCACCAAATCCATGAAGATGGTGTCTGCCGCCAAGATGCGCGGCGCGGAGAACCGCATGACCGCTGGTCGGCCGTTCACTGCGTGGCTGGACAACGTCCAGGGCGGTCGGGACCGCACCATTGAGACGGACGGCATTGCGCCCGTGGAGGAGCTCGAAGGCGACAACGTCTTTGTCGTCGTGTCGTCGGACCGCGGGCTCTGTGGCGGCATCAACTCGGGCATTGCCAAAACCACTCGCAAACAAGTGGCGGACATCCAGGAGCACGCGCAGATCTTTGTCATTGGCGACAAGGCCCGTGCCCAGCTGCGCCGTGACCTCGGCGACCACATCCGTGGCAACGTGACGGAAGTGTACCAGTCGCCTCCGAACTTTACAGTGGCCAGCGCGATCGCTGAGGCAGTGATCGCCTCGTCGGCCAATGCCGAGTCGGAGAAGGTGCACGTCGTGTACAACAAGTTCAAGTCGGCGATCTCGTACCTGCCGTCTGTGCGCTCGCTGGCGGTGCAGCCGGACTCGGACGCGTTCGACTTGTACGAGATGGAGCCCGACAACAAGGACGAGCTGCTGGCGGACCTCAAGGAGTTTGAGATTGCCACGGCCATTTTCCAGGGCATGCTCGAGAACTCGACGAGCGAAGAGTCGTCGCGCATGGCGGCCATGGAGAACGCCACGACGAACGCCGAGGACCTCATTGGCTCGCTCACGCTCGTGTACAACAAGGCTCGCCAGGCCCGTATCACCACGGAGCTCATTGAAATCATTTCGGGTGCCGCGTCGCTGGACGGGTAAGCGAGTGGCGGGGCACCACAAGTCTGTCCGACGTGCTGCCGCCTGTACCGAATCTGGAGCTAATGGGGTCGAGAACGGGTGCGACAAAAGGGAGTGTTTGCACGGGAAACGACTTGCTGAGCGTAGCGAGAGGTGCGGGACAGCAGGTGCGGGACAACAGGTGCGAGCTGGATACGACGAAGTACGCTCAGCAGCAGTAGCAGTTGTGGTGTCGATGGAAATCAACAGGCAAAGTCGTCTGCTCGAGTGCTAGCACGTGTTCCATCGTACTCTGTCCAGTCACGTTGTGCGATAGCGTGACGTCTCCTTTGCTGCCACACACACACACACTCACGGGTCACCCAATGCCGTCGACAAGCACGTCGCCCGAGACAGATTTCTATGTGCATTTAGCTGCTCCCTTACAGAAGTGATGGTCGCGAGGGAAGCATTGCTGGCCGCTGCAGCTCCAGCGTAGAGACACGAGTCGAGTCAAAGCATCGCGACAAAAGTCGCATCCACCGCCGCCGTATCTCCGATCCCTTGGCACAAGACAGCGCACAGCGCGCTGCGATCGTCAACCTGTCTGCAACGACGTCCTTAGACTTTGGCAAAGTGCTCGGTGACCTTGTCCATGACGAGCCACTGGATACCATAGGATGGACACAGACGCGTGAGACGCGGCACGAGGCCTTTGTACAGCGCGGCAATGCCTTCTTCCTTAGCGATGATGGCCATGGCATCCACCATGCCCTTGTACTTGCCACCTGCACCCGCCGCGGCCTCCTGCGCCATTAGCCGCGTCTTGACCACGTCCATGGGGCAATTGATGCACGGGCCAGGAATCGCTCCGATCATACCGGTGAGTCCGCTTTTCCACGCGGGCAGCGAGTCGCCTTCTTGGAGCTTCCACACGTGCTTCTTGATAAAGTTGTTGGACCAGAAGCTGCACGCTTGGTTGAGGCCCTGCCGGCCGATCGTCGGTGCCAGCCCCTTCCACAGCGCAAGAGGTCCCTCTCGCTTGACAATCGTCGTCGCAGTGTGCACGGGGCCGCGGTACTTGGGCACTTCGCCCGCGACAATGTCCTGGCCCTGCAGACGCGTCTTGATGACTTCAAACGGCGTGACGATCAGCACGGCCTCCGTGGCGCCGGCGAGTGCACCGGCAATGAACTCATTCGCGCCGCTCACCTGTCCATTCTGGTCCGACAGCATGCGGCGGAAGATGGCGTTAAAGTAGAACCGCGTGCCGTTCTTCAGCACGACGTGCACGGTCCAGGGCGTAAAGCCTTTAAACAGCCCCTTGGGCCCTTCGGCCGCCACGAGCTTCTTGCCGCAGTCCACCATGCCGCGGTACTGCCCCTTCTTGTCCAGCTGCATGCGCGTCTTGGTCACGTCGAGCGGCGTGAGGATCACGGCTTCAATCACGCCCGAGAGCGCACCGCCGAGGAACTTGACCACGGGCGAGACCCTTACGGCCCGTCCGTCCTGCGACGGCAGCGGCGCCCGCAGTCCGCTCTCGCCCACCTCGACGCTGGCTTTCCACCAGTGCTTGGACAGCGCGCGCACGTCGGGGTCCCACCAGAAGCGCTCGAGCGCCGTGGGCGACGCGACCATCTGCGCCCGCAAGAGCAGGTACAGCCCCTTAAAGTCCGCTTCGGTCACGCGGTGCGCGTCACGCGGCTTCAGCTGCTGAATCATTTCCGTCGCTTCCTGCAGCGTCACGTGCACGCCGAGCGCCTCGAGCCCGCGCTGCAGCTCGTGGTCCTCGACGTAGCCCTTGTCGCAGCGGTCCAGCGCGCGGAACGTGCGGCTGATGACTGCATCGTGCAGCGCTGCAAAGTCCGCGTAGGTCAGGAGCCCGCGATTCTGCGGGTCGAGGCGCTGCATGAGCGCTGCCACGTCGCGGGGCGCGAGCGCGACGCCGGCCGCGCGGAGCCCGCGCTGGAGGTCGAGCGCGTCGACGCGGCCGTCGCGGTCGACGTCCATGCGCGCGAAGGCGTCGCGGAGGAGCTGGTCGACGGTCTCGCGCGAGTGGCGGCGCACGAGCTGCGCGCGGGCCGTCGCGGGGTCGGGCGGCGGCGGGGCGGCCGTCATGTCGGGCGGACGGGCGGATAGAGTGAGAGAGAGAGTGAGTGAGAGTGAGGAGCTCTTTTCGAGTGGGTGCGTGGGGTTTTGGGTGATTGGGTGGGCGTTGTGTGGTGTCGTCGACGTGCGAGGTGAGAGCGGGGGCGGTGGGCGGTGGGCGGTGGGTGGGTGGGCGTAAGTGCGCTTTTGTGAAGGGGGGGCACGACGAACACTAATGTACTGAAAGAAGAGGAGATGGAGACACGACGAGCGAGCGACGACGACAGTGCTGCTGCTCCTTCATCTGCTGTTACGTCCATGGTCGACTGACCTTACCAGCTCTTTTCAATGCTCTTGTCGCTGTCCTGGTCGTCACGGGATTCGCTGCTTGTGCGGCACGTGCGCGTGGTTCCGCGGGCAGGTACGACGCATGACTTCCGCAGCCGATTGGACACGTTCCGAGCAGTGGAAGATGAGAGCGCGACAGCTGCTGGATCGATTGGCTGTGTCGAGCTGCCGCTCTTGTCGACGGAGGTACGCGGCGCGTCCGACTCGACGACGGCGCTAGTACTCGTTCGGCACGCTGGTGCTGGCATCGATGCTGCAGCTCGAGCTGCTTCATTCCTGCTGTCTTTCGCTCCTCCTCTCGACTCTGTCTGGTCGAATGCTCCCGAGCCGTATCCGCGTTTTCGGGCAACGCGTACTTGTTGAAAGTGCCCATCGAGCATTCCAGCTTCCCTTCCATCACACATTCGCCGTTGGCCTCCTCGTCGTTGTCAGCGTACTTGTCGCTGGCAGCATTCGCTTGTACGTGACGTTTCTTGTTGTACGACGGTAGCGCCATCTTGTTGTCTCCATCCGGTACTGACGTTACATCGACACGACATCGCGCTGTGTCGTGCTGCTTGTCTTGTGCCCGTGTTTGCTTGTTGCTGCTAGCCGCGCCAGGCTGGCAATTGCTGGCCTTGCGAATGACGGGGAGGTTGCCACGCAGACGGTGTTCGTTAATGAAGTTCTGGAGGTCCGCTTCACGCACACATTGTCGGGCGCACAGCTCCTTGAGCTCCACGTACTTGGCGCAGGTTTGTCGCAGCTCGTCGTCGCGCTGGCGCAACCTCTTTTTCAAGAAGTGGATCAAATCAGCTTGCTCACCGGAATCGAGCGCTAGCTGTTTGCTTGGAGGGTTCAGAGTTCCAGCGTCTCGCCTTGGCAAGGACTCCGAATACTGCGGAAAGTCCGACCACACGTTCTCCATCAAGTCAGGCAGCTCGGTCTTGCGGCAGTTTGACAGTTTCCTCTTGCTGCTACTCTTCCACCGCTCCACCCTTGCCAAAAACTCACTGAGACGACCATTCATATCGTCAAGCTTATCTCTCAGCCCCACCACTGTCCGCGCATCACGACGGTGGTCGCCGGGCAACGAACAGTCCTCCTCTTCTGGCTGCTGCGACCCACTCTTTCGCTGGACTGTGTCATCGTTTCCGCATGCGGTATCCGCTTCTCGAACACGGCCTTGTAGATCCGAGTCACCAAGTTGAGCATATCGGTCTTTTTCTGACGACAATCGTTCATCTCCCTGTTCGCGTGACGCTTTCCGCGCTTTGACACTCCTTGTACTGTCTTTTGTGGCAGGAAGCTGTGCCTCCAACTCCTCAATGCGAGCACGAAGCTGCTGATTCCTGTCCTGTTCATCCCGCAAATAAGCCGTCTGTTGCCGCACAAGCTGTTTCTCGTTCTGCAATTCTCGTCCCAAGCGAACAATCACGTTGTCGCTCTTTCCTTCGCACGATACAGCTCCGCCCTTCGTACCAAAGATCTGTTCGTCTAGAACCGATCGATCGACTGTCGAAGACCCGTTAGTTTGTCGAGACGCTGCTTCGTTTGCGTCATCCGTTTGAAGAACTCGGAGCGCTTCTTCCGAGGCTGCTGGCCGTTGCTGCCTCGACTCGCGCAACGCGTCTTCGCTCGTCCGTTCTTTCCTACGACCATGAGCAGCCGTATTGCTGTCCATAGCAGCCGTATTGCTGTCTTCTTTGCCCAAGTCGTTGCTACCGTGCGATAACCGCACTGACGTCAAGTTCCCCGTGTCCCTTACTGCAAATGCTGCATCGCCCTCCTGCAGCTCGTCATGCTCATCGCCTCGTCGTGCTTCTCGTCTATCAAGTCGCATCTGTCCACCACGTCCGCTTGTCGTCTGCTCGTTTTGCGTCTCACTCGCTGTAAAACACTTTGACACAATAAATACGCTGTCACCATCAAGTCCACCCTTCTCCTCCTCTTTCTCCTCCTCCTCCTCGTCATCGTCCTCGCTAGCAGCAGCAGCAGCAGCAGTAACAACCTCCTCCTCCTGCTCCAGTGCAGCCAACACGGACCCAATCGACGAAACGACCGACGACGAGTCCCAGCGATCATCGCCCCGCGGTCCTCGTGGTCGTCCCCTCGAGCTCGTCCGCCGTCTGCGCGGCCTCTCCTGCTCCTCCTGCTTGGCCCAGCTACACCGTCCACGTCTGTCCGTCCCGTGTCCCTCGCTCCCTCCCTCGTCAGCACTCGTCCGACTGCAGCAGCTCAACACTTGCGGCACCTCCAGCGAGCTCGAGCCCATCCGACAGTCGGCCCGCGCCCAAATCGCGCCAGAATCCCCGAAAAAAAGCTCCATCGTGGCCGCCGCCCCGTCGCCCCACTGACCGCCACACGGTCGTACACGCTCGCGGCGGTTAGACGACGGTCGGAGCGCCTCGTCCTCGAGCCGGCGGCTGTGGGACGTGGCCACCCGACCGCACGTGGGGAACACGACGTCGTCGGAGCTCGCGAACACGCGCGCGTTGTCGACGCGGCTCAACATGGCGGCAAGTGAGGCCGAGCGGCGAATGTGGGGTCTGCCACACGTCGTTGGTGTGGTGGACGTAGAACTGGACGACCGGCGGCTGAACGGCTGATAGGACCGACCTCCCCGTTACGGCCAAATGGTACAACGGGGTACACGATCGCTGCGTTTTTGGGAGGTCGCACCGCAAGCGCGTGGCTGCGAAAAGGACAAAAGGGGTACGCTCTGCGCCTCTGCGTGCGGACAGTATTTGTCAACAAAAAAGAGCTTTTTTCGTGCGGACAACTACGCGCGTGGCCCATCGTCGACACGATAGCACGTTTTTACACAGAGCCCGTAATGGTCTCGAGCGGACTTTGCCAAGTCAGGACAACTTGCGCAGGCGCACAGCGCGCGCACAACTCAGTAGAAAAGAGCGGAAAACGTCATGGGGAAGAAGGAGAAGTCAGCAGCGTAGAACGATCGGGCGATTGCACCATCAGAGCCTGAGGGAAACAAAATGTATCGGGCATCGAACGTTAACTGCAGCGCTATCGCTCTCGGCACCCGACGTCGCCGCTTCAGGTCTGCGCTGTTTAACAGCGAAGAAGAGCCACCTCGAGACCAATTGACAAGTTCCTCCCTCGCTTCTTTTGCTGTAGCGCCTCAACACTTCGACGACGCAATCGGCAGAACGGCCATCACATCGGTTGATCTGAGCTCAGCACTCGTCACTGCCAAAGTGCGAGCACAAGACGGACGGTGGGCTGACAACTCTGACTTCCATCCAGTAGCCCCAACACTGTGTGTCCTCACGTCGGCGAACACGATTCGAGAAACTTCTTCAGGACTCATCCACGACTTCATCCGTACATTGGGCATCACTTTCAGACTGTCGAATGTGGCTGACGCCGACGGTTCAAAAGCTTACGTAGATGCCTTTGCAAGATGTCGGCGTCGCGCCTCTTACCACGGACGCGTTGAAGCCTGTCGAGAAAATGCAGTGCCCCGGCTTTCTTTTCGTTGCGCTCCAGCACATGAACGACTCGGGCGTCATTAAATGCTGCGACGCGTTTCCGGTATATTCTAACGTACTCGAGCCATTCCATGAGCAAGGAAATGATATCGGGCTGCGCTGTAGTCCCTCCAGCAGTTCCCACGACGCGTGACTTTAGTGGAGGTACCATCATGTGGTACACTTCTGTAGGACTCCTACGTGACCTCAGCCACGCAGGAAACGCCAGCTTTAAAGTTTCGGGTAGATTTGGTGACAACAAAATCATGCGTCGTTGCATGCGGTCTGCTCGACGCTTCATCTTGTGTTCGTCTCGAAGCCAATTGAAAAACTTCACCACCTCTTCCTCATGTCTGTTGTACCTCAACACGTCAACGGCTTCGGCATCGTCGAAATGTATGCAGCGAGACCGGCACAACTCAATATGTTCAAACCAAAGTTTGAGCATTCTAAAGATGGTGGGCCAGTCTGCCATCCGTTCAGCAGCCGCCGTGTGGCGTTCCGTCGCTGGAATGAACATGATGTGGTAAACTTGTAAAGGATGCACACCTGACCTCAGCCACGCATCGAACGTCAGCTCCAAAGTGCCAAGTTGATCATGCGAACCCCAAATCAAACGTCTATGCATTCTGTCTGCGCGATCCTTCATCTCTTTTTCGTCTCGAAGCCAAGTGAAAAAATCCACCACCTCTTTCTCATGTCGGTTCTTCCTCAACACGTCAACGACTTGGTCATCGTCAAATATTTTGAAATGAGACCGGTAGACGTCGCCATATCTGATCCAAAAATCGAGCGTGCGACAGATGGTGAGCCACTCGGCTGCAGTAATTACAACAGTTGGCATATTGCTTGTCGTCGCTGGACCGAACAGGATATGGTAAACTTCTGCAGGATGCACACCTGACTCCAGCCACACACCATATGTCGCTCTGAAATCATCCAGCATATTTTGCTCAGAAAGCAGACATCTTTGCAGGATGTCTGCGCGATTCTTCATTCCCGGAACGTTTCGAAGTTTCAGGAAGATCTTCATCAACTCGTGCTTTGTTCGACCGGTCACCATCGATTCAATAACTTGCTTGTCGATGAAGTCGTTACCCGGAGATCGATAGACGTCGATAAGTGTGAGCCAATGTTGAAACTCAGACAAAAAGGCGGCCCAATCTGACGCTTCTCCATCGGCGCCCGAAAATCTAAAGTTCACTAAATTAAGCGACTGTGTAACGGGGTAGCCCGTTACATGAAATTGTTATTAAAACAATTTGACAAAAAAGAATATTACGTCGAATATTCTTTTAACAATGTCACAGACATGGTGATATTGTTGGGATGACCGAAGGGTCTACTCATTGGTTAATATCGTGATGATATCAACCCACCAATTGCTGCTAGACGCGCGCAATGGGTGGTGAGTAGACGTCATCATACATATAGTTATATTAGTATAATTAAGTCAGGATAACAGAGATTCAAGGAGTTATAGGACTTAATTATATTAATACAGTTTTACTTTTACCAGAGACTAGTCTGACTACTTATTCTCCTTTCCTTCCTCTGTGTTCCTTAAACACCTAGCAGGGCACTGTCGACCACTGTCGTCAGTGGAAGTATACTCCGTACTGGTCAACCAGTACGTATTTAACAGTGCCCCGTTACACCTGGTAGCACTTTGTAGTCCGTCCAAGGACCACAACCCCATCGCCCAACATGAACATGTTGGACGATGTAGACGGCGACAGCTATCACGGAACCCGTGAGAGCTACTCCTATTTGAGTGACATCGAATGGAGTGCGATCGAACGAATGAGTTCGACCGTTGGCGAGGAAGCCATATGGGCCATGCTATCCTCAAGGCATATAGACCGGCAACATGCCGTCATTATCAAGTTCTTGCAACGAGAACTTGATGAGTCGCGCGCGCAGGTGACCTTGTTACAACAACAAGATCACCAGCGGACCGAAGCACTGAGACAACGACAGTCTCAGTCCGCAGAGCCGACGCGTGAGCGTCGACGGGAGTCTCTAAAATTAGAGGTCTCCAAGTGTCGGGGAGTCGATGAAGACTCCCTGTTGAGGTGGTTCGTCGAGCTGGACGATGCCATCGATGCTCGTCGCATCGACGATGAGCGAATGCAAGTCTTATTCGCTCAGTCTAACCTGGCAGGAGAAGCCAGAGCTTGGGCCTGAACCTCAAGTTGCACGACCCAAATGTGTTTGGGTCGTTAGAAGTCTTCAAGAACCTGCTCAGTGAGACGTTCAAGCCGCCCAGAGCAGAGTTCAGAACACTATCTGAACTCCTCGGAATCAAACAGGGTAAGCGTAAGGTTCACGCTTACGCTCAGCACGTACGCTACCTTGCAAGCTGCATGGTAGTGAACCCTGTGAGTGAGTTTGTGTTGATCAAGATTTTCATTCAAGGGCTTTCAGACGGTCCCGTTAGGGACCACCTGTTCCGCGGAGAGCTAAAGACGCTCTCAGAGGCAATCTTCGCAGCGGAGCAAGGAGATTATAGTGTGAGGCAGTCTCACGCTACGTTGACCCCTATCGTCCAAAAAGACAATCAGCTGTCGGAGGTCCAGAACCAATGGACCTCTGTCAAGTCGAGGGCGAGAAACCTCGCCCTATGAACGACAAGCGAATGGTGAGATGCCATCGCTGTCACAAACTGGGACATTATGCATACGAATGCAGTGTCCCCCGCTCAGGACCTCGCGGTGCTGAGCGCAGTATTCACCCACCAGCAAGAAGAACTGGAGGGCGAGGGTCCGTTGCTGTTGCAAAGTCGCAACAGCAAAGTGGACCATAAAAAAACGGTCGGGATCAGTAGGGGCGGAGCGCCCTACTGATCCAGCAACATCGAGAGAATTTGCAAATCTCCTGAAAAATGTTGCTCCCGACACACAATTTCTGTGTGTATATGCACCTGGTGATGAGGTGTCTCTCATCACCTCGAAGTTAGAAGTGACAAAAGACTTGTCACTTCGCGCCCTAGTTGACTGTGGGGCGTCGAACAATTTTGTTCGTCGCCAGACTCTAGAGGCAGGAAGTTTTAACTTCTTGGAGCGGAGATCCCTCCAACGAAGATGACGGTGCGCCTAGCGACAGGCGAATCGATCACTGTGAAGAAACGTGTAGTCGGAATCCACTACACGTTAAAGGCGAACAGTACGATGATGATTTCATCGTGCTTGACCTAGATGACAAGTTCGACGTCATCTTAGGGTTGCCTTGGCTCAGGAGATACGAGCCAAGGGTGAGTTGGCAGTATCAATCGGTTACGATACCTGCTACTTGTTCCTCAGATAACCCCCTGACGAATATCTTGGAACGCCCACACTCACGTGGGTGTACTACGAGCGAGTGCGATGGCCTCACTTGTGGTACGGTCGTTAGCACGACTGTACAAGAACACAATGTAGATGATAACTACATTGTGTAGATAACTCTCCCAGATCCTGTGAAAGTGATTTCACAGGAGGTAATCCAGACACTGAATGTCCTGGTTAATGGTGGATCAAGCGTAGGCGCTTACACGCTTGATCTGGTTGTGCCTCCGAAACTAACTTCGGAGATATCTCAATTTACGACGCTAGAACCGAAACGATTCTTGCGTGATCTGCGCAGTGGCAAAGTCAAGCAGATCTGTGTACTCGTCGCGGAGGACGAGTACGTTACCGATATTTGATCGGCAACGGTGTTTACTGAGACCGAGAGGGTTCCCAGTAGTTCATCGATGGACGAAACTGTAATCGATGAGAAGAATCGGATTGAGAGATATGAATCTCAATCCTGGAAGTCGCTTCAGGCAAATCCATTGTATAAGGATTTGATCGAATTCAAGGATGTGCTCCCTGAATCCGTGCCATGCGAGTTGCCTAAGTACAAAGGCACTCGACACGAGATCGAGCTCAATCCGGGCTCGAAAGATTGTGTCATGAAGCAGTGGCCACTGCCTCGTGAACAAGTGTTAGCAATCGACAAGTTCTTTGCCGATCGCTTAACAGCGGGCCATGTGAGGGAATCG